CCAGCTCACATGCAATGGGCCCAGCGCCCTGTCCAGCCCTGATGTCACATTGGGCTCTGTTGCGTCTGCGCATCTGGCCCACAGGACTCTCCGGCAGCATCAATGGCGGCAGCACCGTGGGCTGCTTATTCCCACCGGCGGGGCTTGCTTGGGCCAGCGGCGTCACCGCCTTGGCCGATGAGCCCGACCTTCACCACGCCTGCAGCTGTGCAGTATCAGCTCCAAGATCCGACCCTTGGAGTCTGGAACCAGTCTCACCTGTCATATGCCCAGTCCAGATTGCAGCAGGTCAGGGATCTACTGCGGCGGCTTGCGGCGGAGATGGCCACATCTGCCCGCCCGGTGGGGGTGACTGGCGTGTGGGAACCAGAGACAAGGGCCAACCAGGCAGCTGGCCGCCTGTGTGAACGCCTGTCGCCTCCACAGCTGCTGGTGCCGGACCAAAGTCTGTTTTGGGACTCGGTCCTGCACCAGGTGGTGATACCCCTGTACAGCATCAGCCCAGCCGCCACAATGGCGGCCACGCGTTCATGGGCCCGCCTGCGTGTGACACTGAACGGGCCTGACCTGCTCAGCCAGCTGCAACAGGCGTTTGCCCAGCTGCCCGACTTCGAGTGGGCAGTGCAAGACATGACGAGCAAGCTGTCAGAAGCGTCTGATCGCCAGGGCATGGTGGCGCTGATGCAGGGGCAGCAGGCTCAGATACAGCAGCTTGCCAGTGGCTCCCGACAGCAGCAGGCACCAGCAGCGCACACAGCGACGACGTGGATGGGTGCGGCGGCAGCGGCGCCGCAGCTCGGGTCCGAGTACGCGACTGAGGCGGACGAGGCTGAGACTGGGGACACCACGCCTCCATGATTCGGTGCACCTGCTCTGGCCCGCTGCCATTCGGAGTGGGAGGGGGGTGGTGCGTGGAGGTGAGAGGAGGGGAGTGTGAGGGGGGGTGAGCGGAGCCTGCACAGCCGCAGCTGCAGGCAGGCTGGCGGGCCGCGCTTCCCCAACCTTCCTCATAGCTGCTGGCAAATAAAAGACGTTCAGAGAGAGCAGCTGCAGGGCAGCTGAGGCTAGGCGTGGGCGGAGAGAAGGGCTGAGCTGCGGCTTGGGCATGAGCAGTAGTTCTGCTTTCAGGGCTAGGCGCCCAGGCGCTTTGCGCACAACCCACCCACCCACCCTTGACCGTCTCCTCTTGAGTCAAGTCACTTGTGTCAGCATGAGTGCGTTTGCATCACTGACGTTCTTTGCTGCCTCAAGATGAATCTAGCATTGGCCTGGTGCATGTGCGCCTCCGTCTCAAGTGGCGTGCCGGATGGTGCGGCCGTCACAGCACAGTCTCTAACACATCGTGTCATCACTTTTACTCACGTTGCATGCAGCATTTCTGATTGAGTTGACCGACCCCAGATGGTGACCTCACTGCTTGCGGCCGCAACACAATTTGCAGTCTGGAGCATGACCTGTCGTTGCGGGTGTTGATGCGACATGCGCCACTGCCGCTACGCCCATCAGGTGCAGCACAGGGTCGCGTC